TACCGCTTAGTGATAACGTAAAGCATTAAAACGCAACTGCATTGCATACAATAAAGCGACAACCATATGGCTCCTGCCAGTTGCCGATAACTTGGTTACAAAACATGATCATCTCATACAATAATTTTTTTGCATCATGTCTTGACCATATCACATCACAACATGCCCTGCAAAAACAAGTTAGACGTCCTCTACTTTGTTTTTGCAAGTTTTACGTGGCTTCTACGGGCTTAAGCAAGAACCAATCTTACCTACGCATCAAAACCACAACGATAGTTTGTCAAGTTGGTGCTGTTTTAACCTTCGCAAGGACCGGGCGTAGCCACACTTGGTTCAACTAAAGTTGGAGAAACTAACACCCGTCAGCCATCTGTGTGCAAAGCACGTCGGTAGAACCAGTCTCGCGTAAGCGTACACGTAATGTCGGTCCGGGCCGCTTCATCCAACAATACCGCCGAACCAAAGTATGACATGCTGGTAAGCAGTATGACTTATATCGCTCACAACTCACTTGTGTTCTACTCGTGCATATAACATCAACACATAAAACCTAGGCTCTGATACCACTGTTGGGTAACGTAGTAATTTCAAAAATTTCCTACGCACACGCAAGATCATGGTGATGCATAGCAACGAGAGGGGAGAGTGTGATCTACGTACCCTTGTAGACCGATAGAGGAAGCGTTACCACAACACGGTTGATGTAGTCGTATGTCTTCACGGCCCGACCGATCAAGCACCAAAACTATGGCACCTCCGAGTTCTAGCACACGTTCAGCTCGATGACGATCCCCGGACTCCGATCCAGCAAAGTGTCGGGGAAGAGTTCCGTCAGCACGACGGCGTGGTGACGATCTTGATGTTCTACCATCGCAGGGCTTCGCCTAAGCACCGCTACAATATTATCGAGGAGTATGGTGGAAGGGGGCACCGCACACGGGTAAGAAAACGATCACGAGGATCAACTTGTGTGTCTATGGGGTGCCCCCTGCCCCCGTATATAAAGGAGTGGAGGAGGGGAGGGCCGGCCCTCTCGATGGCACGCCCTAGGGGAGTCCTACTCCCACCGGGAGTAGGATTCCCCCTTTCCTAGTCCAACTAGGAGTCCTTCCATGTAGTAGGAGTAGGAGACAAGGAAGGGGAAGAGGGAAGAGAAGGAAGGAGGGGGCGCAGCCCCTCCCCCTAGTCCAATTCGGACTAGGCCTTGGGGGGGGCGCGCGGCCTGCCTCTCCCTCTCCCCTAAAGCCCAATAAGGCCCATATACTTCTTCTCCCGTATTCCCGTAACTCCCCGGTACTCTTAAAAATACCCGAACCACTCGGAACCTTTCCGATGTCCGAATATAGTCGTCCAATATATCGATCTTTACGTATCGACCATTTCGAGACTCCTCGTCATGTCCCCGTTCTCATCCGGGACTCCGAACTCCTTCGGTACATCAAAACTCATAAACTCATAATATAACTGTCATCGAAACCTTAAGCGTGAGGACCCTACGGGTTAGAGAACAATATAGACATGACCGAGACATGTCTCCGGTCAATAACCAATAGCGGAACCTGGATGCTCATATTGGCTCCCACATATTCTACGAAGATCTTTATCGGTCAGACCGCATAACAACATACGTTGTTCCCTTTGTCATCGGTATGTTACTTGCCCGAGATTCAATCGTCGGTATCTTAATACCTAGTTCAATCTCGTTACCGGCAAGTCTCTTTACTCGTTTCATAATACATCATCTCGCAACTAACTCATTAGTTGCAATGCTTGCAAGACTTATGTGATGTGCATTACCGAGAGGGCCCAGAGATACCTCTCCGACAATCGGAGTGACAAATCCTAATCTCGAAATACGCCAACCCAACATGTACCTTTGGAGACACCTATAGAGCTCCTTTATAATCACCCAGTTACGTTGTGACGTTTGGTAGCACACAAAGTGTTCCTCCGGCAAACGGGAGTTGCATAATCTCATAGTCATAGGAACATGTATAAGTCATGAAGAAAGCAATAGCAACATACTAAACGATCGGGTGCTAAGCTAATGGAATGGGTCATGTCAATCACATCATTCTCCTAATGATGTGATCCTGTTAATCAAATGACAACACATGTCTATGGTTAGGAAACATAACCATCTTCGATTAACGAGCTAGTCAAGTAGAGGCATACTAGTGACAGTTTGTTTGTCTATGTATTCACACATGTATTATGTTTCTGGTTAATACAATTCTAGCATGAATAATAAACATTTATCATGAAATAAGGAAATAAATAATAACTTTATTATTGCCTCTAGGGCATATTTCCTTCACAGACATCACAGTGAACTAATTGAAACGGAAAGAAAGATACATGGTCCGAGGACCCAAATGGTAGTCTAATGTTTTTCCCAAGCTGGCAGGCGTTACACACGGACGACAGGGCACCATGGCGCGGGGTGGACGACGAGCGAAGCATGCTGAGGAGGGAGTCGTGGCCGGGGTGACCCAGCCGCTGGTGCCATGTATCGGTGGAGACGGCAGTGAGCGCGTGGTGCGACGGAGTGGATGTGGACGCGGACATGGGCGTAGACACGGGGTAGAGATCGTCGTCGGCATCACATCGGAGGATTACCCTGTTTGTCCTTCGTTCCTTGACAAAGAACCCACGATCATCAAACTCGACGTTAACAGGATTATCGCGAGCTAGGGCTTTGACAGAAATCAAAATTTTGATGAGGTGGGGGGAGACGAGTACGTTGCGAAGTGCAAGAGGTGTCGTGGTGGTGGGAATGGAGGTGTGACCAGTGTGTGTAATCGCGAGCGAGGTCCCATCACCAACTGTAATGCCTGAGGAAGTATAGGGGTGGGAGACGGAGAGCATACCAGAGCTCGACGCCATGTGCGACGAGGCACCTGAGTCGAGATACCAATCCGCGGTGGGCGCCGGCGGCTGGGGCTGCTGGACGTGGAGGTTGTTGAGGGCCTGCACCAGGCCGTGCTGATCCCACGCCGGAGTGGGAGCCGCACCGTAGAGGGGATGCGGCGGGACGGTGCCAGGAGTCCACTGCAGCGGAGGAGCGCCAGGCGGGATCGGGTGTGCTGCGGCCGATGGAGTCGCCGTCGTGTTGTTGTAGTAGTGGGAGACGGCGCCGGCGAACGGTGGCGAAGCCCCGGGGCGAGGCCCGAGAACACCAGCACCTGGGGCATGGGGACGCTATGGCATTCGCCAGGCATGGACCATGCCGGTCCAGGGGGTGGTGTTAGCCGCCGGCAGTGCAGGTGTGCGGGACGAGGCGGCCCCACCGGAGTTGAAGCCACCGGTGTCGATCGCCTTGCCCTTGCCGCGACCGCGTCCGCAACCGCCACGGTTTCCCCCGCCTCCATTGGCAGGAGCAGGAGCAGGAGTGCGCGCGGCGTGGAGAGCCGTCTCGGTGGTGGTGTCCGCCGTGTGACGACTTTCTTCAAATAGGAGGAAGGCCCGGCAGTAGAGGAAGGACGGGAACGGCGTCTGCATGGTGAGGATGGGAATCGCGTAGCGCAGGTGTGGGTGGAGACCGCGGAACATGTTCAGGACCTGCTCGTGGTCGCTGATGGGCTCACCGAGGTTGGCGAGGCGGTCAGCGCACTCCTTGAGGCGCCCAAAGTAGTGGATGACGGAGGAGGAACCCTGCTCGATGCGCCGGAAGTCAGTGGCGAGGAACACCGCCTGATGCTCCTGGTTCTCCATGAACAGGGAGGTGATCGCGGCCCAGACCTCCGCCGCGGTCGCGTGACGCTGGTGGATGAGACCGAAGATCTCCGGGCTCACACGTGTGTAGAGCCAGGAGAGGATGTGTGCGTTATCCTGAAGCCAGGCGGGATCGCCGGGACGGGGGCCGCCGGTGAGGTGGTGGGCGACACCGCTCTTCTGGAACATCACCTCGAACAACATGCGCCACTGGGAGAAATTGGGCGGCTGCAGCGTGAGGACGAGGGGGACATGGTGGTTGATGAACACACCAGCCAGGGGGGAGAGCGGCAGTGGCTGGGCGGCGGACGACCTAGCGGTGAGAGCGTCATGGCCAGGGCGCATGCCCAGCACAAACGCCGAGGGCGTGAGGAGCGTAGGTGCAAGGGCCCAAGGGGTAGCGGAGGCGGCGTCGTCAAGAGCACCCGCGAGGGTGCGACCAGTACGAGGGGGAGGAGGTGGTGGGGCTGGGGGAGGCGTCGGCCCAGACATGGCCGGAGACGGGAGGGGAGCAGGCAGCGGAAGCGACGTCAGGCGCTAGAGGGGCCTGGTGTCTGATACCATGTGAGTGGAGAGAGGAGTTTGGGCAATGCACCTTGGGTGCTGCCTATGAATGCATTAGCATATGTATAGGTTACAGGAGAGCGCGGGGAGCGCAGAGTACATGCGTGACGTGCGCGGCGTGCGGCAGTTTGCACGGGGGCGTGCATGGCGCACGTCTAGCCTAGCTAAGTACGTGGGTAGAGGACGAGGTTGACTGACAAGGACCTTGAGTGAACCACTTACTATAGGATTTGGACCTTAATGTGTATTTTGAGACTTCAAGGACACTTTTAGGACCTTTAGTGCATTTTAACTCTACTTTTATTTATAGCAGAAAGTAAATATATGATTCTGGTCCTTTCGGAAGAATCTTTAGATTTACAATTACGCATTTAGAACAAAGAGATTAACATTCACATTTTATTTTTCCGGGAATAATATCATTCACTTATGTAGCATGGTATTGCTGCTACATCTTATCAGCTAAGCTAGCGCTGGGACGCAAAGGCCATGACTCGGATCCACCGATGAGCCACACTACGCTTTTCATCCTGCTCCTGAACCCTACATGTACCGTTGGCCGCACAGTGTCGGTGGAGCGCGTCTATATAAAGGAGCCGGTTTCCCTGTGAGCTCATCGCCAACGATCACAGCCATTGGCCATTGCTTGCGTGAGTCACATCGAGCTCGGGCTACTGAGTGAGAGAGAAGTAGCTAGCTAGCCGGAGGAGAGAGATAGAAGTATGGGTATGGGGTGGAAAGTTGTGAGCGATGTGAAGCCATACCTGGCGATGGTGCTGCTGCAGGTGGGGTTCGCCGGGATGTACATCATCGCCGTGGCGTCCCTCAAGGCCGGGATGAGCCACTTCGTGCTCGTCGTCTACCGTAACCTCGTCGCCACCGCCGTCATGACGCCCTTCGCCCTCTACTTCGAGAGGTAACCCTACCTAGTTCCATTCATCCATGCATCGAATAACTATATTCTCCTTCACACACACGACGCTCTCGCACGTACGCAAGCGCCACTCTCTTGTCCGTGCATCGTTGTGCAGTAGGTATTGCATCATGGGCTCGCTCGCATGCACACGCATCATGCGGGCGGCGTGCATATAATGTCAATGTTGCCTATTTTTCCTTCGAAGAACATCCGGTTGAGGATCATGATCAACACGTACACTTCAGCAGATGAGCCTCTACGTCAAACGGCAAAGTCACCAGTTCACCACACAGTACGAGATGTAATGATCTTAATTAACTCAGGGTACAATCATCTCATTAACTATCTAAGCGAGGGCTCGGTTGTTTATACATTGCCATGAGCTACCATGAAAGTCGAGGACTAGAGATAGATCATTTAATTAGTTAGAGTAGACGGTTCCAACATAAATGAGCGCTTCAAGTTTTACACAAGCATGCGTGGATGTGCAGCTAGCTGCCAGCATTATTCTGACCGATGCTCCCATACACTCTGGCTTTTGCTTTTAGTTAGTTAGACAAAGTTTCCAGGGGCCAAGGACAACAGAACAAATGGATCAATATAGTAAAGGAAGATCATGACAATTAACAAGGCCAACTTGCCAAACGTGCACCCCCACGATCGATTAACACGCACGTACAATTTGCTCGGTTCATATATTCTCATTTTTGTCTCATTTAGAATTTTTTTAGGGGTATGTTTGTCTCATTTAGATGGTGCAAGCTGCACTCGTGGATCCTAATCCAGTAAAGTGTAGGTGCACATCTTGATACCTTATTCTATTTTGTACCGGCAAAGCAGCTAGCTTTCTTGGCTTTCCTTATCAGGCGTTAAATCGTCATTTGTATATGGATGGATCAATCATAATATCAGAGTGCATTAATTAGCAGAAGTAGGAAATGACACATAAGCAGGTGCATGTAGCTAGCTAACCGGCATATGTGCGGTATGTGTGTTTACGTACGTGTAAACGCACCTGGACAACCTCCACTAGGCAGTGTGACCTGATTGGCCACTGGTGGAGGACCTACCATGCATGGAACCACCAGGCCCCACATGTCAACCAGAAGCTTATGGACCGTTCATCCATAGAGTTACATCCACTAATACACTGGATACACTTTAGGCCTCCTTTGGTTCATAGGGTAAGAAAATCGTAGTAATAGGAAAGTCATAGGAAATGAGATGACATGTATCTCAAATCCTATGAGTAGGAATAGGAAAGGAGATGCCCTTTGATTCACATCATAGGATTTTTTCCATTGAGTTTAGACTAATGTTTATTTTCCTATGAAATATAAAGGATAGGAAGAATTCCTCTATAGGAAGGGGGTTTCATTCCTACAAACCAAAAGGTGTGGCTAGGTCAATTCTAAATCAAGTGATATAACATGCCATAAGAAACAGACAAATTTAAAAAGAAATTTTTGTACGGATCTCAATGCAAAATTTCATGGATATAACATCGACTTCGACTGAGATTTAGCAAGACTGTATACGAGTTCATTTCGATTCATATTTACGTAGATCATTATCCATGAGAGAACAGAACACTACCTAATTGTGTATTTTGCTCCAACCTACGTATAACATGTGCAGAGGACGGAGGCCAAAGATGTCAACCACCATCTTCCTCAAGATCATGGGGCTCGCAATCCTCGAGTACGTCCGTACTGTTAACTACACATAACTCTTTCTTGATTAGTGACTGATGTGCTGTGTTGCATGGGTCTCTCAGGCCCGTGATTGACCAGAACCTCTACTTCTTGGGCGCGAAGCTGACCTCGGCGGGATTCGCGACGGCGCTCCTCAACACCCTCCCGGCCGTCACCTTCGTGCTGGCCCTCATCCTGCGCATGGAGAAGGTGCGGCTGCGCAGCCTGCACAGCCAGGCCAAGATCGCCGGCACGGTCCTCACCGTGGCCGGCGCCGTGCTCATGATCCTTTATCACGGCCCCGCCATGCAGTTCCCGTGGACCAAGGGCCAGCACCACGCCACTGCCGGTGGCCAGGGCGCCGTTGGCGCCGCCGCCGCGCGGGACTGGCTGAAAGGGACCATGATGCTCATCGGCTCCTGCATGGTCTGGTCGTGCTTCTTCATCCTCCAGTCCAGCACGCTGCGGAGCTACCCGGCGGAGCTCTCCGTCACGGCGCTCATCTGCGGCATGGGCTCGCTGATGAGCGGCGCCGTCGCCGTCGTCGCTGAGCGCGCCAACACCCATGCGTGGGTTATCGGCTTCGACACCCGCCTCTTGACCGTGGTCTACGCCGGCATAGTGTGCTCCGGCGTGGCCTACTACTTGCAGGGCGTCGTGTCGAGGCAAAGGGGCCCGGTCTTCGTGACGGCCTTCAACCCGCTCTGCATGATCATTACCGCCGTCATGGGTTCCATCATTCTCAAGGAGGAGATCACTCTCGGAAGGTACTACGTACGATAGTGCTTCCACCATTTCAAAATGGACGAGGATATACATGCACTAGCTACTTAGCTAGTGCAACATTATTCCATATATACCAATGATATCATTTCAATTTTGCTTTCAGTGTGATTGGTGCAGTGATCATCGTGGCAGGCCTCTACTTCCTCATCTGGGGCAAGAGCAAGGACAAGATTATCATCAGCCCCAGCCAACTCTCCGACGTCAGCGTCAAAGGAGCCGGCGCGCTGCCCTTGACCTTGGCGACCAACGGCCATGGCCACATCAAGCAACACGAGCTCGGCAACGGCAACGGCAACGGCGGCCATGTCGACGTCGAGACGCCCGTGACCAATGGGCACTACTAGCAAGGGGTCGATTGGAGTGGCTACGTTTTATACGTCCTCGAGTCGTCCATCGACCAGTATATGTCTAGCTTTTTTCCTTGTAGTGCATGGTCCATCGAGCGATCATGCATGGAGATGATTTTTTTCTCAATATATATTTTATTCCTGTCAGCTTCTCCCTAGCTACGATCCTATCATGTGACTATGTGAGAGTGACCAGATGCTGCTTGTCAGTAGTCACTACTAAGTTGAGCAGGGAAGCTTTTTTTTTTTTTGAAACGGAAGCAAAAGCTTCGCCTCATCTATTAATTAAGATAGAAAATAGTTTGTTACATGACACCCCACAAACACGGCATGCGGATTATTCTCGTGAAATAAAAGACCCTAACTTCTTTGCGCTATGTTTAAACACTCTTGCATTATGCTCGTTCCAAATCGTCCATAAGACGAGCATAGTGAGGGAAGCATGTTAGATTGACAAGGGTATTCATCAAATTCTGAAAGTGGGCATAAAGGCCCGACGTCAATGTGGAGGATGAAGGTCTCGCCCATAACTTCATTTTTGAGCCATCAACACGTCGATTAATAAATAAGCTGAAGGATTACAGGAGGTTCACCATCTCAGGAGGATGGACTAACCATACATGCCACCCCGCAGCCTTGTATAGCGAACGTGCGCCCATAGGTCCCGTCCATAACTGAAAGGGTCCGTCTACATCTCACTCACTGAGAGCATCTACAACCGTGATGGGTAATTCGGCTTCAAACGTTGCCGACGTGCCCAGACGTGTTCGTGCACAATGATCGATCAAATCTCAAATAATGCAATCCACATCCGGATACCTCAAATTAGAAACCTCAAATCTGTATTATTACATGCAATGTAGCGATTTTTAAGCGGAGCTTGTCCGGTCGCCGTGGCCATGCCCGGCGGCCGGCTACGCTCCCCAGAGTGTTGGTTCGGTCACCAGCAAGGTAGAGTAGGACATGGGACACGTGCCAGCTCACGAGACACGGGGCGCCGCCGTCTCCCATGCCCTACTCTTTCTCGTCGGAGCCCGAAACCTGTTAGGTGCCGGTGGACGTCAGATTGATAATTGATTCGTCCTGGGACGAGCCGGCGACATCCACCACGACGCGATGGTGGCGCCCAAAGTGTTGTACCGTACGGGGCACCGGAGAATGCGACTCCTCCTCGTCGACGCGCACCGCCGCAAACGCTGCTGCCGCCTCCCGTGCCCGCTGCTGCGCACGGCAGGCACGCCCTGCCATGTTTGCGTCGGACTGGACCATAAGCCCCACTATGCCAGTAAATCTCCAGCGGGTTTTTCATCTTTTTCTCTGTTTAGCGGTCTTCATTAGGGCTGGACCATAAGTTCGTAGCTCGCGAGCTTAATGAGCACTCGATAGTTCGGCTCGTTAAGCTCGGAGCTCGCTTCTTAATGAACAGAGCCAATCATTGATTTTAGCTCGTTAAGCTTAACGAGCTTAACGAACGAGCTAACGAGTTTCACGAGTAGCTCGTTAAGCTCATTAGTAACAACATAAGACATATGAAACTATGTGACAAACTTTTTGTGGCACCTCAGCCCATCAATTCAATCTACTCGACATATGAGGCAACAAATTAGTGCATTTCTTTTTTGTAGTCACCATATTTCATCTTGAAAACCACACCTATGCATTCATCCTGTATATCATAACACATTACAATCTGTTAACGAGCGCTCACGAGCTTAACGAGCTTCAAACGAGCCGAGCCGAGCAGGGTTTTCTGCTTGTTAATCTTAACGAGCTTTAACGAGCCGAGCCTTAACGAGCACGAGCTTAACGAGCCGAGCTGCTCGTTAGTGACATACAGAAACTAAACTGTAGCGAATATACTATACCGAACATTTTTACAATTCCGAGATATTTTTAAATGTGATTTTTTTTGAATCATGATTCTTTTTCGAGAAAACACGAACAATTTTTGAATCTTCTATACACCTTTTGAAAGCTTGGAATTTTTGGAAAATATAAACTGATTTTTGAAATACAATTTTTTAAATTTTCTAGTGTCTTTGGAAATATTAATTTAAAAAAATTATGAACATTTACTAAAATTCCAAATATTTTTTATATTAATGATTTTTTTAAAATACATTTGTTTGTAATTACTGATAAAAATTATGAACATTTTCTTAGGTTAGCAAACAATTTTTGAAAATTATGATGAATTTGAAATTTAAAAATGGGAAAGAAAAAAAAGAAGAAAAAGATAAAAAAACAAAAACCAAATAAAATTCCAGTGAGAAAAATAAAACCGGTTTAGGTATCCGTCTAGAAGGTTAAAAAAGGGTTGCTCGCGTTGTGTAAAACGCTCAAATATGAGTCGGCCCAATCTGGTCGCTAAGTCATTTCTCTGTGCGATTGAATGATAGTTCGCCGTAGAGAGGGTGAATAGGGAATTCCCAGGGAGAGTATTTTTTTGTGCGCCAAATGAGAAATTTCATAATCGACCATGTCATGAAACTTCACATGGGCCTTTCAGATTTTTCAGGAATTGTTTGTTGTATGGGCCAAAATCTAATATATAATTCAACACTTAATCCTTCACATATGTATTTTATTTATGGCAAAAGCCTACCATCAATCGGCGGATTGCAATGGCCGCGTCCAACACCTTCCCTGGATAACACGCGTAAGTGAGGACCTATATACCATCCTTCATGCAACAGGGGCTATACTTTTGAAACATATGCGGTGTTGCAATGGTCTATGAAGGTTTATGTTTTACAACAAAACCTCTCTCACGGAAAATTTCTACAACAAGGCCTCAGTTGATTTAAAAAAATTACAACAAAACCTCAGTTGCAAAAATGTTTTTGCAACAAAATAATTGTTCCAAATATATTTCTACAACAATACATGTGTTACAGAAATGATTCTACACCGGACCCGAGACTATATCAGCCAAGTGACCGGAGACGACAACCCACAACACTATAGAGGACTTCAGAGCCGCAGCTCCGACTTCTACACCGGACCCGAGGCTGCACACCAAACTAGTCAATGACACTGCCACCCAGGCGACGAAGGCCAACATTACACAGGAGAATTCCTGAGCCGCCGCTCCGACTTTCCGTCCGGCCCTGAGGCCGTGAGCCAGTCGAGTTGATGGTTCTTTCACCCATGCGACCGAAGCTAATACCAAACGCGCACGAGATTTCCGAAGCCACCGCTTCGACTTCCATCCTGGCCCCGAGGCCGCGCACCCGCCTGGGCACGTCGAGCCCACAAAACCAGCCAAACTTCTTGGTTCTTGTCATGAAGTTTCTTAAGGATGAGCAAACGAGTAAGCCACAACAGATAAGACGCAGCAACCAAAAAGAGTTTTGCTCAAAAAATAGAGCAAGCAAAAGAGTAGGATTTTCCCTTCCAACCAGACATCACATACATTTTTCATGCAAAGCAAAGAAGACCCCATCAGATCCGCGGTCGCATGATAGGCCGGCGTGGCTCTGGAACTCCAGCCACTGATAGTTTAAGGTGATGGCGCAACCCAAAAGCTGCAAATCATTGCCGCAAAATATTCGATGATTGATATCTTATCGCCTGTTGTTGTCTTCTTGTAGCTAATGGCAGGGTTAGCATTACATTTTATTAATGTATAAAGTTTGAACACTTGAGCAAAAAGCGGATGGGAGTAGTCCTTCTGGTAACAATGATGCCTCTAGTGCTGCCGCTGCTATCCACGTCTGTACGTAAGTAAGAGGACAAGTTAGCTACTACTACTACGTAGGTTAGCTTAGGTCTATGGCTACGATGACTTGCTTTGGTGAGGCGGCCGCCGCCGGTGGTGGTAGTGTTAACGTTGCTGTTGTTGCAACAGCAGCGAGCAACACGGACTGGAGGCGAGTTGGCCACTGGGATGGCTTAAACTAAACTAGTTAAGCCAAGTGGTCTACGTATTTTCTTTTTCGTTCCCTTGTCTTTCTCAATTGACCGGAGAGGAAGAAAGGGTGCGCGCCGCGGTTAGTGCGTCTGATTCATGCCATGCATGGCTGGATAACCTGCCGCGGTGTAACGCCGGTGCGGCTGCTGCGAAGAAACGTCCGCCTCTGGTTCCTCTTTTCAGGCGACGCGACGCCGACAGAAGCTAGACGGAAAGTGAGGTGGTCCTCCTCCCCGGTGCTGCTTACCGGAGACGACAAAACCATCAGTTGTCTGTCTAGTGGACGATCAAACAAAGGCCTGTTCGGAGGCCCCCTCTGCTCCTCGACTCCGCTCGCGGAGCTGCCGGGACCGCAGTTGAAAATTACGGAGCGGACAAATCGGTACTCCGCAGATCTTTCTATTTTGCGGAGCTGGTCAGAGTGCCGAACGGGCTCAAAACAGTCCGATATGACAGAGTCAGGCTGTACTAGTTTTGATATCCCAGCCAGATTCCGGCGGTTTTGTGAACTTTTGTCCTAAGTGACATTACCCTGAAGAAAGGGCACTTCTTTCGTGTGTACAGTACTAATCGAGCCACCCAACAGTTGATAATGTGGATATGGTGTCTTAGATCATCTCGAAAGCTGGCCCTTAGATTCTGGGCCGAACTGCTCGGACGCAGAGTTTACCATTTGACATAGCCCCGCATCCAAAAACCATCCGTCAGTGGTCGTTACTTCAGACAGGATCTAGACTGATTCCGCAGATTAATACAAGTCTTTTCGCATTATGAGCTTCTGGAAAAGAATGAATTCCTTATTGATATGAGTAGTTTATTATCCCTATTAAGCCAGACTATCACATACACCCCCACTCAGTGGAACCGACGTCCTCGTCGAGCCACAAGAACATTCCCTCTTGCACATCGTCTGTGCATCCAGTCCGGTACATGTGCCATGCCGTGTGCCACGACGGGTCACAAACGTCATGAACAACATGACCACGCACCTGTCCGCAAATATCCATGTAACCGCGAGGGTCGTCTCTAATACCAATTTGTAACGCCCCAGACACATCCGTCGGTGGTCGTTACTCCTGGCGGG